TGTGTGTGTGTGTGTGTGTGTGTGTGTGTGTGTGTGTGTGTGTTACGGCCCTCTCGGGACGCAACGGGGTCCTTACTCTGATGTTGTTAGAGGAAGATATATATATCCGTTCCCAAGCCAGTAGTGGCTATCAAGGGATGAGATCCGTGACGCAAGTAACTTAAAGGGAGTAGGGAAAGAAAGCTAAGAACTTAATATTATAATTATTACCATCACCGATTATATATATAAAATAAAAGAGTACACAAGGGGGAGGGGTATTAACACTACACAAGGGGGATTAATCACAATATAGTCTTCTGCTGAAGACTCTGGATCCAGAAGCTAGGTGCTGAGTCCTCGGTGCTCTCTTCGTGGCCACACAACGAATCCTTCTGAGAAGTTGAGCCTACCCTGGCCACAGGTCAGCCAAAACACAGGTCCACTGGGGGCACCGCCGTGGAGGCCGTCAACCACACGTCCAGCTGGTCTGCTGGCAGGTTCTGAGCCAACAAGGCTGGTCCGGCCACTCCACGAACGATAAAAGGGGAACGCCCTAGACAGGAGCCTCGTGTGACACCACAAATCACTCTCCTGTCTTCAGTACCCCAGTGGATGATCGTCTCCAACAGTCGGTCCCGGGTAAATCCTTTTACTGCCACTCCACTGGCAGGCTAACACACCACAGTGTTCTTCCGGGGGGACGACTTCACAACAGCTGCAGCAAACTTCAAGGTATGGAGACTGGCTGCCTCGGGTAGACTCACTCGGCTCCCATCACAGTAGTCCCAGGTCGACTCTGTAAGCAGACACGTCATCAATAACTGGGACACTAATACACCTCACTTACAGGCTCAGATACAAACGCCCGACATATCCAATCCATAGATGGCGTTGTAGTCTGAGCATCACCTCACCAGAGGTCAGCGGCGGCGGGGTTGAGTGCTGAACGGGACTGGAAACTGGTCCTCGTAGCTAGTACACGTCGTCGGTTTGGAGGGGGGTTTCGGGAGCTGACCCACAGATGGCGCGGTCGTTACTGCTCCTGGCTCGGACGCTGGATCCGGATTCGTTACAGTGTGTGTGTGTGTGTGTTACTGCGTGTTACCTAGCAGTAACATATTATCCATGAACAAACTGAATAAAATTATACAAATTAAATAAAACAAGCATTTATCATAAGTTATCCATATTTTATTTAACCACCTACAAATAAATAGCGAGGATAAAAAATAGGAGAGTTCCACATAGAAACTGTCTGTATACAACTCGTCATAATATAGCTAGCCACTTGCTATATTTAGTCAGTAATGTTCTCAGTAATTTACTGAGGAGCACCATATGTCCTGGAGGGGCCGTTGGACTCTTCGCGGGCGCGCTCAGCGTCTTCCTTAGCGGCGAAAGCGATCTGCTCCAACACGAAATCGGGGATTGGGTGGGGGAACTCAGGAGCCACTGGCAGCAGGTCAGACTGGGGCTGGAAGCCGTTCTCGTCGGCGACGTATTTCACAAGGACTTCAGTTCCGTCAGGAGCAGTGTAACTGGAGATTATATGCATTAGTGACAATGGGAATTTTTTGCCACTTATGAAAAATATATATAATTGAAAGAAACGGTGATTTGCGGTAAAAACCTAATCAATTAACGTTCAGTAATACTCACGAGTATTGTCCAGACTTGACAACAGAGCCATCAGGGCCACTGGGAGAGCCTTTCTGGGACAGCTTGACGCCATCATCAGTCTCCACTTCGAAGTTGTAACTGCCGTCGTCTTCTTGGACACGATCGTCCCTCAGGATGGCCACCACCTCGTCAGATTCACCGCTGTAGCGGGTAGGAGACGGTGCTGGGGGGGCGTACTGGGGGGCGGCGGCGGCCACGGTGGCCAACACGGCGAGAACAATCTGTGCAAAACACTCATCATACTTAGTTTGCTTCAGACGCTGCTTGGCGAAGTTGCAGCTTTTTCACAAACATTACCTGAGATAAAACTTTTCTTTTTATAAAATAATTGACACTATATGAAAGCATGAAAGCTTTTTTAGTATAATTTGTAGTATAATTCCTTAAAACCCGGACGAATGGTAGACTTACAAGCTGCATGATGGTAGACTCCAATTGGAACTGATGCTGAATCCTGAAGAGCGCCAGTATATATAGCACGAACGAGTCGACAGTTGCCAAACACACATAAAAATTGTCTCTGAACAACTAATTTTTATGTCACTTCTTTTTTCCAGATTGTCGTCCTTGAACCCAATACACAGTATTGGATTCAGGGGAGCAGCATTTATATGCGGACTCTGTCTCTTGAGTTATTTTGTGTCTTGTGAACGTGACAGATCCAGGTCAACGGTACTCAGTTTACTGTATAACTATAAAACGACCTTTTTTGTGGACGGGTTGTTGACAGGACTGACGTCAAGCCCTGATGCATTTTTTTAATGCTACCACGGAGCGTTGAACATTTTATTAAGCCAAGACCTAACAAAGGTATGTATAATCAGATATTTGTTCCCTATAACTCATTCCATTCCCAGGGATGAATCGGATACTATAGGAAGAGGATTTTACATTTCACTTGCTGCCTCCTTTTGTATCGAATGTGATGTTTTGTCTGTTTCTATAGCTGTTGTTATTTCCAATTCCTGTAGTTGATTCCTGAATTCTTCTCGTTACATTGCCACTTCAGTGATACATTCATGTAGGGGGGTGGGATTGGGGATGGGATGTCTATTCAGTTTGGGCTCTTAGCTCTTTGTATGTCTGAGTGTTTGAGAGAGAGAGGGAGGGTTTGTGCATTTATACTCACCTTGTTGTGCTTTTAGAGGTTGAGCTTTGGCTCTTTGGTCCCGCCTCTCAACTGTCAATCAACTGATGTACAGATTCTGTAACCTATTGGGTTCTATCAAATCTATATTATAAACTGTATGGAGTCATGTCTCTGTGGCTCATTTGGGCACTAAGTTTCCACCTGTATCCCCTTATTCATGTTCCACCATGGCTACATAGTTTGTCTTTGTCCACCCTGTCAATTCCCCTGAAAATTTTGTAGGTAGTGATCATGTCTTCCCATACTCCTCAGTCTTCCAGGGACATGAGGTTTAGCTCGCGTAGCTTTTCGTCGTAGCTCATACCCTCAGTTCTGGGACTAGCCTGGTGCCTTATCTCTGAATCCTCTCTAACTTTGTCTTGCGTTTAACTATATATGGAAGCCAGACTGGAGCTGCATACCCCAGGATTGGTCTGACATAAGTGGTATACAAGGTCCTGAACGATTCCTTACACAAGTTTTTAAAGGCAGCTTTTATGTTGGCCAATCTAGTAAATGCCTCTGATGATATCCTTGTGATGCGGGCTCCTGGGGACAGGTTCAGTGTGATATCAACCCCCCCACCTACATCTTTCTCTCTATACATCTCTTGCAGGATTTCACCTCCCAGATAGTACCTTGCATTCAGCCTCCTGCTCCCTTAACCTATTTTCATTCCTTTACTCTTTCCTGAGTTTAACTTTAGTAGCCATTTTCTAGACCTTTCCTCCAGTTTGTCCAGGTCGTCCTGTAGTCTCTGTCTATCTTCCTCTGTCTTGATTCTTCTCATAATTTTTGCATTATCAGCAAATATTGAGAGGGATGCGTCTGTACCCTCTGGAAGATCGTTTACATATATCACAAACATGATGGGTCCAAATACAGAGCCCTGTGAGACTCCGCTCGTGAGATCTCGCCACTCTGCTGTCTCGCCCCCTTAGAGTTACTGGCGGTTTCCTGTTGCTTAGATACTCCCTTATCCAATGGAGCACATTACCCTTTTCTTCTGCCTATTTCTCCAACCTTCGTAACAACATTTTTATGGAATAATGTTTTAAAGGCTTTCTGACAGTCCAAGAAAATGCCGTCTGGCCACCCTTCTCTTTCTTGCCTAATTTTTGTCGCCTGGTCATAAAATTCTATTAAGCCTGTGAGGCACGATTTACCATCCCTGAACCCATGTTGGTAGGTTGTTACAAAACCTCTTCCCCCCTCCCCCCCCCAGATGTTCTACGAGAATTTTAGTAACGATCTTCTATATCACCTTGCATGGTATGCAAGGTAGGGAAACCGTTCAGTGCCTCGTGCCTGGTACCCATTTTTTATATTGGGACTACATAAGCTGTTTTCTAGCTGTACGGTAAGTCTTCTGTTTCCAGTGCCCTATTATACACCATAGAGAGTGGCCCACTTAGAGCTTCTGCATCCTCTTTTAGTATCCATGTTGAGATTCTGTCAGGCCCAACAGCCTTTGTCACATTCAGCCCCAACAGATTCATTTTTACCTCATCACTGGTGAGATAAAATTCCTCCATGATTGCTTGGTTTGTCGCCTCCTCTCCTATTACAGGGGCATCTCCTTGCTCTATTGTGAGGACCTCCTGGAATCTCTTGTTGAGTTCTTCACACACCTCCTGGTCATTCTTTGTGTACCTGTTCTCATATTTTCTCAGTTTCATCACTTGTGCCTTCACTGCTGTTTTCCTCCAGGTGTGGCTGAGGCGGTTTCGTTTGGGTCTTGGTTTTACTTGCGATGTAATTTTCATATTGTCTCTCTGCTTCTCTCCTCACTCTGAGATACTCATTACTGGCCCTCTGGTATCTCTCCCCCTGCTCTCTATTGTTGTGTTATTCCTGTAGTTTCTATATGTTCTTGTACTCAGTTTCTTTGCTATCTTTCAATCCTAATTGAACAATGGATTCTTCTGTTGCTTGTGCGTGGACATGAACGAATGTGTGTGTGTGTGAGAATACGATGCCTTTTTGACATCTCACGCAAGTATTTTATTATGTTTTAAAATGGATGATTTATAGCGTATTTTAGTTATTTTGTATTTCCTAATTTTCTTTTGTTAATCGTATAAGAATAGTGTTTGCTTGTATCTGTAAGGTTAAGTTTGTTACAACACTAAGTTTCAAATATACAGTGAAACATATGAGATGATCGACCAACAAACTAGGTATACAAAATAAATAAGACAAGTATTAATAAGAATTCATATAAATTTTATTTATCAACCTACAAATAAATACTGTGATGAAAAATAGAAGAAATACAAATAGAAAATATTTGTAAAAGATTTGCCATAAAACAGCTAGCCACTTTCAGAGCAGTAATTTACTCAGTAATTTACTGAGGAGCACCATATGTCCTGGAGGGGCCATTAGACTCTTCGCGGGCGCGCTCAGCGTCTTCCTTAGCGGCGAAAGCGATCTGCTCCAACACGAAGTCGGGGATTGGGTGGGGGAACTCAGGAGCCACTGGCAGCAGGTCAGACTGGGGTTGGAAGCCGTTCTCGTCGGCGACGTATTTCACAAGGACTTCAGTTCCGTCAGGAGCGGTGTAACTGGAGATTATATGCATTAGTGACAATGGGAATTTTTTTGCCACTTATGAAAAATATATATGATTGAAAGAAACGGTGACTTGCGGTAAAAACCTAATCAATTAACGTTCAGTAATACTCACGAGTATTGTCCAGACTTGACAACAGAGCCATCAGGGCCACTGGGAGAGCCATTCTGGGACAGCTTGACGCCATCATCAGTCTCCACTTCGAAGTTGTAACTGCCGTCGTCTTCTTGGACACGATCGTCCCTCAGGATGGCCACCACCTCGACAGATTCACCACTGTAGCGGGTAGGAGACGGTGCTGGGGCGGCGTACTGGGGGGCGGCGGCGGCCACGGTGGCCAACACGGCGAGAACAATCTGTGTAAAACACTCATCATATTTAGTTTGCTTCAGACGCTGCTTGAAGACGTTGAGAATTGTTCACGAACATTATTTGAGAGAAAACGTTTCTAGTTGTATAATTAATTGTCACTGTATGAAAGCATGAAAGTGTTTTCAGTATAATTTGTCTTAATACTCAGATAAATGGTAAACTTACAATGTGCATGATGCTAGACTCCTAATGGAACTGATGCTGAATCCTGAATAGCGACAGTATATATAGGCCAAACGAGGCAACAGTTGCCAGTCATGCACTATAAAAGCTGCTTCTCCACATCTAGTTTTTGTGTCAATCTTGTTTTGTTTTTTTGTCCAGATTATCGTCCTTGAATTCAATAAACAATAATATATGCGGCTTCTGTCACTTATGATATATTTTCTCTTGCAAACGTGACGAATCAAGCAACGGTTTTAATGGATGGGTTGGTGACCGTAGATGACAAACACCTTCATATAGGCTCTTTAAATGCTATCGCAGAGCGATAGACAGTTCATGAAGCTAAGACTTAAGAAAGGAATGTGTAATCGTTGTGTTAAACTGATATTTATTTTATAATTACTTGAAAGAAAATGAGTCTAAAGATCACGAATTGCAGTATTATATCCTGTTACGAAGGAATACTGCTCCACCTCCCAGTAATACTCTCTCGCCTCGCAGTAATACTCTGCCGCTATCAAGTAATACTTCCCCAACTCCTAGTATTAGTCCTCTGCTACTTCTCAGCCTCCCAGTAACACTTCTCTGCCTCCCAGTAACACTTCCCCAGTCTCCTAGTTGCACTTCCCCCGCCCCGTAGTAATAATTACCCTGCATCAAATTTAACATTGTCTCGTCTCTGACTTCCATCCCAGGCTTCTCCCTCGTCATCTCTCTCTTCCCTTCAGCTCCCCTCTCTCCCTGACCTCAGCCCTTGCTCTGTTCCTTCTCTTTCTTCTCTTCGCCTTCTCCTCCCCTTCCACTCTAATAGACCTGGACACGTTTTATATTTCTCTCTTATTCCTACTTGAGTTTCCAGTGCTGCATTTCTCTCTATAAGAATTACAAACAAAGGAGCTGTAACACAAGTATTGTGGTCAGGAATATATATTGCTTTCAGTATTAGTCTCTGGTTATCCACCATTGTTGAAAGAATTATATATATATATATATATATATATATATATATATATATATATATATATATATATATATATATATATATATATATATATATACTTTTAGTTACGATCAGTTTATGTTGTGTGTATACATGTGGGTGATATATATATATATATATATATATATATATATATATATATATATATATATATATATATATATATATATATATATATATATATATATATATATATATATATATATATATATATATATATACTGCGAGGCGAGATATATATATATATATATATATATATATATATATATATATATATATATATATATATATATATATATATATATATATATCACCCACATGTATACACACAACATAAACTGATCGTTAAGATGGTAACCTGAATGTATATGTTAAAAATATATTTAAAAAGAGTTAGTAGAACGGAGGAGGAGGAGGGAATTATCAGGTTATAGCACCAAGCCATTACGACTATACAACACTGGGAAGGGGTCAGGATAAGGATTTGGGATGGGACGGTGAGAAAGGAATGGTGCCCGTCCACTTGGACGGTCGGGGATTGAACGCCGACCTGCATGAAGCGAGACCGTCGCTCTACCGTCCAGCCCAAGTGGTTGAGACATGATAACCTGAAAACAAACTCTAAAATCAGGACCAGAGAATTAACAGCATCCATAAAGTATTAGAAAAATAATCAGTAGTGAGACTCCTACACAATATCATTTGCAACTCAACAAGTGACAAATCATTTGCAACACAGAGTGTCAACAATCAGACAGGAGTGGGAAGGAAGGGTTGATTACGACTTCCTACACTGACAGATGTCCATTGATGCGCTTCTATGTAAGTTGCTGTTATAAAACGTACAGATATGCTGGGCTGATGGAAGATTCTAAATTGCGTTCCTGACGGAAAGAAGACAGAGATTCATAGTAAAAACGTCAAAATTATAATAGTGGGCTGTGACGTTTCAAAGGAATCGGTACTGTGTACTATATTGTTCATAATATATATGCGTTATCTGCTTCGAAGAGCAAATGAATTTATTTTAATGCTAAGCTGATGAGGAAATACAAGAAATAAGTGCGAAGTACTCTAGGAAGGCCTAAACAACTTCTTTGTGTAACCAATTCATCATTCTTTACGGTTCTAACGCTGAAAAAGTTCTTCTGACATCTTTGTGATCCTTTGTGTTTCGAGTGTCAATTTACTTCCACTCGTTTTGCTGTTCCTAGCTTTGAATCTTGTTGCTTTGTATAATTTTTCAATTTCCCCTTAAAATCTTACATGTATTTATTATTATCCCTTCATATCTCCTACCCTCTAGTGTGGTCAAGTCCGATTTCTACGGTCTTTCCTCGTAGCTTAAGCCTTCAACTCAGGATTAATTCTTGTTGTATATCTTTGGACCTTTTTTAGTTTTGACTTGTCCTTCTTTAGGTTTATGCAAGGGCTTCATACTAAAGATTTGGGGTCTCACCTTGGATGTTTATTGAACCTAGAAGATTTTTATTTCCAAGCTTCTGAAGGAAACACTTGATTGGCTACTTGACAAATGCTGCTAATGTTATTCTGCTAACAAGTGCAGATTTAAGTTTATGTAGAATCCCAGGTCTTTCTCAATTTTTGATGCCAGAATCTGTTTTTCCTTCAATCTATACTGCAATACACGTCTTGTAGTTCCTGTTTCAATCTTCATAACACAGCATTTATGTGGGTTACATTCTTGCAGCCACTTTTCAGACCACTTCGGGAGTGTGTTAAAATATGTGTGTAGGTTATTACAATCTCAACCAAGTTATTACAATTTGGGAGGCCTGGTCGGAGATCGGGCCGCGAGTCTGTTGATCCCCGGAAGCAACACACGGTAGGTAGGTAGATCTCTCATTATCCTGAATTATCCACATAGTTTGCATTGTCTACAAACACTGATAAGAAGAAGCCAATATCATATATCAGATAATTGACATATAATAGAAACAGGATTGGCCCTAGAAGAATGTGGTACTCCACTCATAACCTCTCTTTCCTCTTTATTATCTATACTCTCACTGTAATAATTTGTTACTTCACTGAGAGGGATTCTCTAAGCCATCTTCAGACTTCCCGATTAACAAGCCCTGTTCTCTAGCTTGAATAAGAGCCACCTATGCGAGACAGAATCAAATACTCTCTTATAGTAGATGAATATGCAGCTTACCCATCCTTCATCTGAAGGTAAATGTCACCTTATTGTAGACCTCCAAAAAGTTTGTGAGGCTGTATTTTCCTTAGTAACCAATAAACTTAGTAAAAAAAACAGTATTAGTGCTGGTATTTTTATTCTAACTTTAACTGTTTTAAGTGTTCTACTAGTCTGCTTCATATCAGCTTTTCTCACAATTTTTAGGGATGCTTGCTAATGTTACTAATCTTTAATCTAGAAATTTGTATTTTCCCTTTTATTTATAGTTAGATTGGCACCATATTAGACATTTCCCCAGTGATGAATCAAATACTAGAGCAATTTGTTGTCACTTTTACTTTCCAAAGTGATACTTTGTTTCTTCAGCTTTTGTTCCAGTAGTTCATATATTTTCTGGTATTTTTTCTGGTATTCATATATTTTCTGTGTTATATGATTCTGATATATTTCAAAGTGAGACATTGTTGTGGGGGAAATGGCAGTGTCCGTTCAGTATTGACTCTTAGCTCTTGTGTTTGTGATAGAGGGAATGACAGAGATCGAGGATGTGTACATGTGTGTGTGTATGTGTATACGATGCTTATTTGACATCTCACGCAATTTTTATTGTAGTATAAAATAGATGATTTAATGCGTATTTTGATTATTTGTTAAGTCTAAATATTCTATTGCTAAGTGTTTAAGAATAGTGCCTTCTTGTATCTGTATGATTTAGGTTTGTATCAGTACCTAAGTTTCAGATACACGGCAAACAAATCAAATGCTCGATGGACAAACTGAATATCATTAAACCAATAAATAAAACAAGCTTTTATTATAATTTATATGAATTTTATTTATCTATCTACAAATAAATACCGAGGGTGGAAAATAGAGGAAATTCACATAGAAATTGTTTGTGTATAAATCGCCATAATGTAAACAGTCATTAGCAGAGCAGTAATTTACTGTGGAGCACCATATGTCCTGGAGGGGCCATTAGACTCTTCGCGGGCGCGCTCAGCGTCTTCCTTAGCGGCGAAAGCGATCTGCTCCAACACGAAGTCGGGGATTGGGTGGGGGAACTCAGGAGCCACTGGCAGCAGGTCAGACTGGGGTTGGAAGCCGTTCTCGTCGGCGACGTATTTCACAAGGACTTCAGTTCCGTCAGGAGCAGTGTAACTGGAGATTATATGCATTAGTGACAATGGGAAATTTTTTGCCACTTATGAAAAATATATATGATTGAAAGAAACGGTGACTTGCGGTAAAAACCTAATCAATTAACGTTCAGTAATACTCACGAGTATTGTCCAGACTTGACAACAGAGCCATCAGGGCCACTGGGAGAGCCGTTCTGGGACAGCCTGACGCCATCATCAGTCTCCACTTCGAAGTTGTAACTGCCGTCGTCTTCTTGGACACGATCGTCCCTTAGGATGGCCACCACCTCGTCAGATTCACCACTGTAGCGGGTAGGAGTCGGTGCTGGGGCGGCGTACTGGGGGGCGGCGGCGGCCACGGTGGCCAACACGGCGAGAACAATCTGTGTAAAACACTCATCATATTTAGTTTGCTTCAGACGCTGCTTGAAGACGTTGAGAATTGTTCACGAACATTATTTGAGAGAAAACGTTTCTAGTTGTATAATTAATTGACACTGTATGAAAGCATTAAAAGTGTTTTCAGTATAATTTGTCTTAATACTCAGATGAATGGTAGACTTACAAAGTGCATGATGCTAGACTCCTGATGGAACTGATGCTGAATCCTGAATAGCGACAGTATATATAGGCCAAACGAGGCGACAGTTGCCAGTCATGCACTATAAAAGCTGCTTCTCCACATCTAGTTTTTGTGTCAATCTTGTTTTGTTTTTTTGTCCAGATTATCGTCCTTGAATTCAATAAACAATAATATATGCGGCTTCTGTCACTTGTGATATATTTTCTCTTGCAAACGTGACGAATCAAGCAACGTTTTTAATGGATGGGTTGGTGACCGTAGATGACAAACACCTTCATATTGGCTCTTTAAATGCTATCGCAGAGCGATAGACAGTTCATGAAGCTAAGACTTAAGAAAGGAATGTGTAATCGTTGTGTTAAACTGATATTTTTTTATAATTACTTGAAAAAAATGAGCCTAAAGATCACGAATTGCAGTATTATATCCTGTTACGAAGGAATACTGCTCCACCTCCCAGTAATACTCTCTCGCCTCGCAGTAATACTCTGCCGCTATCAAGTAATACTTCCCCAACTCCTAGTATTAGTCCTCTGCTACTTCTCAGCCTCCCAGTAACACTTCTCTGCCTCCCAGTAACACTTCCCCAGTCTCCTAGTTGCACTTCCCCCGCCCCGTAGTAATAATTACCCTGCATCAAATTTAACATTGTCTCGTCTCTGACTTCCATCCTAGGCTTCTCCCTCGTGATCTCTCTCTTCCCTTCAGCTCCCCTCTCTCCCTGACCTCAGCCCTTGCTCTGTTCCTTCTCTTTCTTCTCTTCGCCTTCTCCTCCCCTTCCACTCTAATAGACCTGGACACGTTTTATATTTCTCTCTTATTCCTACTTGAGTTTCCAGTGCTGCATTTCTCTCTATAAGAATTACAAACAATGGAGCTGTAACACAAGTATTGTGGTCAGGAATATATATTGCTTTCAGTATTAGTCTCTGGTTATCCACCATTGTTGAAAGAATTATATATATATATATATATATATATATATATATATATATATATATATATATATATATATATATATATATATATATATATATATATATATATATATATATATATATATATATATATATATATATATATATATATATATATATATATATATCACCCACATGTATACACACAACATAAACTGATCGTTAAGATGGTAACCTGAATGTATATGTTAAAAATATATTTAAAAAGAGTTAGTAGAACGGAGGAGGGGGAGGGAATTATTAGGTTATAGCACCAAGCCATTACGACTATACAACACTGGGAAGGGGTCAGGATAAGGATTTGGGATGGGACGGTGAGAAAGGAATGGTGCCCATCCACTTGGACGGTCGGGGATTGAACGCCGACCTGCATGAAGCGAGACCGTCGCTCTACCGTCCAGCCCAAGTGGTTGAGACATGATAACCTGAAAACAAACTCTAAAATCAGGACCAGAGAATTAACAGCATCCATAAAGTATTAGAAAAATAATCAGTAGTGAGACTCCTACACAATATCATTTGCAACTCAACAAGTGACAAATCATTTGCAACACAGAGTGTCAACAATCAGACATGAGTGGGAAGGAAGGGTTGATTACGACTTCCTACACTGACAGATGTCCATTGATGCGCTTCTATGCAAGTTGCTGTTATAAAACGTACAAATATACTGGGCTGATGGAAGATTCTAAAATGCGTTCCTGACGGAAAGAAGACAGAGATTTATAGTGAAAACGTCAAAATTATAATAGTGGGCTGTGACGTTTCAAAGGAATCGGTACTGTGTACTATATTGTTCATAATATATATGCGTTATCTGCTTCGAAGAGCAAATGAATTTATTTTAATGCTAAGCTGATGAGGAAATACAAGAAATGAGTGCGAAGTACTCTAGGAAGACCTAAACAACTTCTTTGTGTAACCAATTCATCATTCTTTACGGTTCTAACGCTGAAAAAGTTCTTCTGACATCTTTGTGATCCTTTGTGTTTCGAGTGTCAATTTACTTCCACTCGTTTTGCTGTTCCTATCTTTGAATCTTGTTGCTTTGTATAATTTTTCAATTTCCCCTTAAAATCTTACATGTATTTATTATTATCCCTTCATATCTCCTACCCTCTAGTGTGGTCAAGTCCGATTTCTACGGTCTTTCCTCGTAGCTTAAGCCTTCAACTCAGGATTAAATCTTGTTGTATATCTTTGGACCTTTTTTAGTTTTGACTTGTCCTTCTTTAGGTTTATGCAAGGGCTTCATACTAAAGATTTGGGGTCTCACCTTGGATGTTTATTGAACCTAGAAGATTTTTATTTCCAAGCTTCTGAAGGAAACACTTGATTGGCTACTTGACAAATGCTGCTAATGTTATTCTGCTAACAAGTGCAGATTTAAGTTTATGTAGAATCCCAGGTCTTTCTCAATTTTTGATGCCAGAATCTGTTTTTCCTTCAATCTATACTGCAATACACGTCTTGTAGTTCCTGTTTCAATCTTCATAACACAGCATTTATGTGGGTTACATTCTTGCAGCCACTTTTCAGACCACTTCGGGAGTGTGTTAAAATATGTGTGTAGGTTATTACAATCTCAACCAAGTTATTACAATTTGGGAGGCCTGGTCGGAGATCGGGCCGCGAGTCTGTTGATCCCCGGAAGCAACACACGGTAGGTAGGTAGATCTCTCATTATCCTGAATTATCCACATAGTTTGCATTGTCTACAAACACTGATAAGAAGAAGCCAATATCATATATCAGATAATTGACATATAATAGAAACAGGATTGGCCCTAGAAGAATGTGGTACTCCACTCATTACCTCTCTTTCCTCTTTATTATCTATACTCTCACTGTAATAATTTGTTACTACACTGAGAGGGATTCTCTAAGCCATCTTCAGACTTCCCGATTAACAAGCCCTGTTCTCTAGCTTGAATAAGAGCCACCTATGCGAGACAGAATCAAATACTCTCTTATAGTAGATGAATATGCAGCTTACCTATCCTTCATCTGAAGGTAAATGTCACCTTATTGTAGACCTCCAAAAAGTTTGTGAGGCTGTATTTTCCTTAGTAACCAATAAACTTAGTAAAAAAAAACAGTAATAGTGCTGGTATTTTTATTCTAACTTTAACTGTTTTAAGTGTTCTACTAGTCTGCTTCATATCAGCTTTTCTCACAATTTTTAGGGATGCTTGCTAATGTTACTAATCTTTAATCTAGAAATTTGTATTTTCCCTTTTATTTATAGTTAGATTGGCACCATATTAGACATTTCCCCAGTGATGAATCAAATACTAGAGCAATTTGTTGTCACTTTTACTTTCCAAAGTGATACTTTGTTTCTTCAGCTTTTGTTCCAGTAGTTCATATATTTTCTGGTATTTTTTCTGGTATTCATATATTTTCTGTGTTATATGATTCTGATATATTTCAAAGTGAGACATTGTTGTGGGGGAAATGGCAGTGTCCGTTCAGTATTGACTCTTAGCTCTTGTGTTTGTGATAGAGGGAATGACAGAGATCGAGGATGTGTACATGTGTGTGTGTGTATGTGTATACGATGCTTATTTGACATCTCACGCAATTTTTATTGTAGTATAAAATAGATGATTTAATGCGTATTTTGATTATTTGTTAAGTCTAAATATTCTATTGCTAAGTGTTTAAGAATAGTGCCTTCTTGTATCTGTATGATTTAGGTTTGTATCAGTACCTAAGTTTCAGATACACGGCAAACAAATCAAATGCTCGATGGACAAACTGAATATCATTAAACCAATAAATAAAACAAGCTTTTATTATAATTTATATGAATTTTATTTATCTATCTACAAATAAATACCGAGGGTGGAAAATAGAGGAAATTCACATAGAAATTGTTTGTGTATAAATCGCCATAATGTAAACAGTCATTAGCAGAGCAGTAATTTACTGTGGAGCACCATATGTCCTGGAGGGGCCATTAGACTCTTCCCGGGCGCGCTCAGCGTCTTCCTTAGCGGCGAAAGCGATCTGCTCCAACACGAAGTCGGGGATTGGGTGGGGGAACTCAGGAGCCACTGGCAGCAGGTCAGACTGGGGTTGGAAGCCGTTCTCGTCGGCGACGTATTTCACAAGGACTTCAGTTCCGTCAGGAGCAGTGTAACTGGAGATTATATGCATTAGTGACAAAGGGAATTTTTTTGCCTCTTATGAAAAATATATATGATTGAAAGAAACGGTGACTTGCGGTAAAAACCTAATCAATTAACGTTCAGTAATACTCACGAGTATTGTCCAGACTTGACAACAGAGCCATCAGGGCCACTGGGAGAGCCATTCTGGGACAGCTTGACGCCATCATCAGTCTCCACTTCGAAGTTGTAACTGCCGTCGTCTTCTTGGACACGATCGTCCCTCAGGATGGCCACCACCTCGACAGATTCACCACTGTAGCGGGTAGGAGACGGTGCTGGGGCGGCGTACTGGGGGGCGGCGGCGGCCACGGTGGCCAACACGGCGAGAACAATCTGTGTAAAACACTCATCATATTTAGTTTGCTTCAGACGCTGCTTGAAGACGTTGAGAATTGTTCACGAACATTATTTGAGAGAAAACGTTTCTAGTTGTATAATTAATTGACACTGTATGAAAGCATGAAAGTGTTTTCAGTATAATTTGTCTTAATACTCTGATGAATGGTAGACTTACAAAGTGCATGATGCTAGACTCCTGATGGAACTGATGCTGAATCCTGAATAGCAACAGTATATATAGGCCAAACGAGGCGACAGTTGCCAGTCATGCACTATAAAAGCTGCTTCTCCACATCTAGTTTTTGTGTCACTCTTCTTTTTCCAGATTGTCGTCCTTGAATCTAATACACAGTAATATATTCGGCTACTGTCACTTGCGTTATTTTGTGCCTTGTGAACGTGACGAATCCAGGACAAGTATGAACGACTTATTTGGAGGGGGTTGGTGACTGTTGGTGGCGTCAAACACCCTTATTTAGGCCTTTTAGATACTACCGCGGAGCAGCAAACAGTTCGTGAAGCCATGACTCAACAAAGGCATGTGTAAGCAGATATTTGTTCCTTATA